AATAATAATAATAATAATAATAATAATAATGTATCAAGACCAGTTTATTAAACGTAACAAATGTACGGCACTAATGTAAGATGTTAATAATATTCCACATTCATGAGTGTGGCATGAATGGCAACTGTCTGTATTACCTTGGGAATTTTTCTAAAACGGTTCTAAAATACAAAATTTATTTTAAAGGAGAGAGAGACTGACATCTAAGGAACGTAACAACCAGACTGAACTGCCTGGACCCTGGTTTACACAGACCAACCCCCAAAAATGTCCCTTTGGGAACTATGAGAAAAATTTGCATCATTGGGTATTAGGTGACAATGGGATTATTATGAAAGGCTTTTTTCCCCTACATAGATAAGATTGCTTTCACTATATAGAGAAATGTTATTTTTATTTATTTCTAAAAATTTTACATTTATTATTCATTTTTAGAAGGGAGAAAGAAAGGCAGAGAAACACCGATGTGCGAGAGAAACGGCAATGGGTTGCTTCTCATATACCCTCCGACCCGGGACCGAACCCACAACCCACTCGTGTGCCCAGACCCAGAATGGAACCGAAGACCTTGCGCTTTGCAGGACGACACCCAACCCACGGAGCCACACCAGTCAGGGCTGAAATGTTCCTTTCTAAAGACGCATGCTGAAAAAGAATTTCTGTTTTCCTTTCAGAATAAACTCCAAACGCTTCCCCGAGGCCGAGACCCAAGCCCCTGGAAGCTCTGGTGCCGCCGCCTCGCCAGCCTCACCCTGTCCCTCGCTGCCTGCTCCCCACGATCCGGACAGGACACGTCGGCCTTCCCGGGGGCGCCCCCTGCCCTCCGGCCTCCTGCCCCTGACGCACCTCGGCCTCGAAGGCCTGCCCGGCGTGGCCAGAACGGAGGCCGCCCCCGTCTCCCATCGCTCTACCCATCATCCTCTTCACCTCCTCCAGAGTCTCCCCGTCCGGGTTTATGCGCTCGGCATCTGTCTGCCCCTCCTAGAATCCAAGCTCCTTTGAGGGCGAAGGCCTTCCCGGACCTGTTGGCCATCTCCCCGGCACTCAGAGCCCGTGCTCACATTCATTCATGCCCATAAATGTCTGCCCGGTGAATGACGTAATGGGTCTTTGGCCCTAACAACTACAGGAACGACCAGCCATTCCAATCACCTCTGTGTCTTTGGATATTAACACATTACAATAAAGCTGTTTAAAAGAGCACTCTAATTTTTCTCCCCCTCCAAGTGGCTTCAACCCATTCCCTCCGTTACGATCTCATCTCTAAACAGGAGGGACGGGCGTGGGGGGGGCACGCGGAGGGAGTCCTGGCCGTGAGCCGCAGGCCTGACCCCGGCGGGCTGCGGCCTGGACACTGTGCGAACGGCGAGGTCTGCCACTGCCGCCGAGGGGCGGCCTGCCCGGGATCCCTTCCCCGAAGACTCGCCTCGCGCTCACTTCCCTCGCCACCGCCCGCCACCGCCCGCCACCGGGCACCCGGGAGACCAGCCCCATGCTTACCGATAGCAAACTCCACCAGGGTCTCGTTCTCCTCCGACAGCGAATCGAGGAACAAGTCCAGGACCTGCAGCTGTCGCAGATACTGGTAGTTGCTGGGGTCATAGGCGAAGTTGGCGAGGTTGGCGAGGACTTGCTCCTTGGCGTCTGCAGCGGGAAAGCGGCACCGGAGTCAGGTCCCAGGCGACGGTCGCGGGCGGACCGCTGCCCCGCCCCCTGACCCTCACCCTGTCTCTCTCACCTTGGCTCTCCGTCTCCTGGAACTCCGTGACCAGCGCCTGCAGGTAGCCCAGCCGCCCTACGTGGGGGTCTACCTTCGGCTTCTGGGCCATGGTCGGGGTGGAAGAGGGTCCACGGGGGGACAGGCAGGGGAGTGTGGCTGATGAGGCCGGAACGGCGTGCGAGAACCTCACGGGGCCTCGCTGCGCAAGGGCAGGCCAGGGCAGGGTACAGGTTCGTCTCCCGGCCTCGGGTCCTGCGGTAATTTGCAGCTGTAATTGGGCTGAGGTGCGGTATCGGGACCTTGTAGGAGACGGGCGTGAAATTCTGAGGCGCAGGAGCCTCGGAAACAACTGCGCGACGGAGGAGGAAGTAGCACCACCCAGCCCCTAGCTCGTAGGTAAGGTTTTCCGCTTGGTTCCGGGCTTCCGCCGGAAGCCGCACTTAGCTCCGCCCCAGAGGGCGGGAAGAGGTAGGCAGCGGCGGAGCGAAGGCGGGGCTTTCCCTGAGCTCAGCGCGCGTGCGCAATTCGCTTCTTGCCGTAGCGCTCGCGCAGGCGGCGGAAGGCTGCGAATGGCTGCGAACGCTTTGAGGGATTTATCCAGGGTCCTTTAGAGCATAGAGGCGCCGGAGGGCTCCGCGTGGGGAGCTGTCGAGGCAGAACCACCTCCAGATCCTCTTGCATCTGACGCCCCTCTGGAGCGTGGGCATCGGCCGCCTGCGGACGACCACGGCCCCCGCCCCGGGTCCTTTGACACTGCTTTCTCGTCGGCTTTTCCAAAAAGTCGTGCTAGCCTGGTGCTCCCTGCTCCCCCTCCCCGAACTGAGTCTTCCACCTCTGGCCAGAAATCTCGTGAACTGGGTAAAGCTCCGTCAGCCAGGTGGACGGGGAGCGCTGGGCAGCACCGACGGGTGGTAGGAACCTGCATCCACCCGAATGTACCGTTGTGGGCAGCGTTTTGAGTTAGGCAGCAGCCCTTTTGTCCAGTTCTTTCTTGGGGCTTCCCAGGAAGGTGGTATGTGAAGGAGACCTCGTAGGCGCAGGGACTAAAGCCCCAGGGAAGGAGGTGGTCCTGCCGTCCTCCCATCTGATTGAAAACGTGAGGGTAAAGGAGGCTTGGGCTGTGAGCTTCTCCAGGGCGAGGACCATGCGCCTTTGGTCCTGGGCCGTACTCCATCCTGCCACCATCCCATTGGGAGCAATCCCTGCATGGCGTGCGCTCAGGTCCCTGTGGTCAGCCCCTGCCCTAGGCACACCCCCTGGGGCAGGAGGTACACTTGGGTACTGTGGCTGCTCTGCGATAGTGGTGGCCCCAGGATGCTTAACGAGCCCTTCAGCGTCTTTGGAGAACCGATGTGGCTTGGGGATGTACATCTCAGCCCAGGGTGGCCCATGGTCTTCTCTCCCTCTGGCTGGACAGAGCAGCAAAGGCTTGGGGACCAGAAGGTCAGGGTTTGGGGGCAGGATGGACGAGAGCTCCCACCTGTGCTACTCAGGAACGGCTCCAGACCCTGTCTAGAGAATTCTCAGGAAGCCAGCTAAGCGTGGTTTCTGGAATCAGATTGGGCCACCTACCTTCCCTCATTTGTTTCCTCCCAAGGCCTCAGCAGCCCTCCTCCTTGGGGAGAAATGCCCAGTCCTTGGTTTTGTGCCGAGGGCGGCAACCAGGTCTTACTCCTGTTTGCCCAGTCCTGGCACACAGTAGATGCCTACGTATTTGTTGAGGAGAGCCTAGTGACCATCGCTGCTGTTGACAGAGGGCCAAGTTCTCTGTGCTGAATGTTCACTAATAATCTTTTTTTGCCTTAAAAGAAATCTGCTTTGTCCTGACCATTGTGGCTCAGTTGGTTGGGTGTCGTCCCTCAAGGCAAAGGGTCCCTGGTTTGATTCCTGGTCAAGGCACAGGCCTGAGTTTCGGGTTCTGTCCTTGGTCGGGGCACACATGAAAGGCAGTCAACCAATGTTTCTCTCTCACATCAACGTTTCTCTCCCTGTCTTCCTCCCTCCCCCTCTTTAAAAATAAATTAAAAAAAATATATATATTTTTAAAGATTTTATTTATTTTCAGAGAGAGGGGAGAGAGGAAAAGAAACATCCATGTGTGGTTGCCTCTTGTGTGCCCCCAATGGGGACCCAGCCTACAACCCAGGCACGTGTCCTGGCTGGGAATTGAACCGGAGTTCCCTTGGTTCTCAGTCCAGCGCTCAATCCACTGAACCACACCCACCAGGGCTAAATAATATTTTTTTAAAAATCTGTTTTAAGGAATTGGACCGATTAGGGGATGCAATTTCAAAGCCTGGTGGCTACTAGTAACCAAAAGCATGTACCTGCTTACCAGCCCCAACTCCCTCCTTTTCTGCTCCATTAGGATGGAGGACACAGGACTTGGTAAAATGTATTCCAGCTTCTCCCCTTCAGCTCACACTCCGGATGGTAGCCAAGCACAGGACGGGGTAGGGAGCAAGAAGGCAGTGGGGTTCTTCAGGATCAGACTTTTCAAACTGGAAGAGACTTTGGCTTATCCTGGCCAACTTCCTCCTTTTAAAAATCCCAGTGGTGGTGAACAACTTGCCCCAAGTCACGCAGTAAATTATGGCCAAGTCAAACATGAATTCGGGTCCCTAGTATCCCAGCCAAGAACCCTTTTCTTTGCCTCTGCACTACCTCCTTTGGCCATAAGGGGGCACTCTGTCACAGAGTCCGGGAGAAGACCGGACAGACATCCTGAAGGATGCTTACTCATGCCAGTTGGGCGTGTGGAGGAGGAAGGCTAGAGTCGGGTCATGAAAATAAAATCAATCTGCTGATAAGGTTTTGTTGGAGCCTGGCTGAGCCTGAATCAACAAACAAGGTCTTGGGTGGGAGCAGCCCCGGTCAAGCTGGGAGAAACGGAGCGTGGGAGGAGGACCTATTCCAGGTCCATTTTCCTGCTTCATTAGTTCGCAGGTTTTACAGCCTGCTGCAGGAAACGTTTTTTTTGTGTATGTGTGTAATTCAAACAAACTGCTTTTCTGTTCCCTTGGTTGGTACCCTGCTGGGACAAGCCTGTCCTGATGACAGTGAGCACCCCCTCCTCCCCAGGGATGACCTCAAGGAAGGGCACCAATAAAGAGTGTGTGTGTATAGGGGGCAGGGAAGGGAGGCAGGAGGTCTGACCTCCGGCCAACGACGCAGGCCAGCAGGCCAACGCGGAGCAGGGGTGGGCTGGCAGCCGGCCCAGCCAGCTACTTACCCCAGGGCCGGCACCTCTGACACAGCAGGGAGCAGGGAGTGGAAGGGCTTCTGTTACAAAAGCAGCTCTATTTTCAAAGAGGTCATTGGGCCCTGCCTGGCGAGCCTTAGCCTCTCCCTGGTCGGTCAAGTGTCTGGCTTCCTCCACTCCGGGGCTCATCTTCCCGCCAAAACACCAGGTGGGGCCAGGGAGGAGGGGAGGCCCTGGAGCCGGCTCTGTGGAACGGGCAGGGGGCCCCTCAGACTTCCCCGACTCTGGGGCCCGAGCCAGGTGCTCCCCTCCCATCCTCTGTGCGGACGGACGCCAGGAAAGGCATTCCGCCGGACATCCAATCCGCCCAAACCCCGCAGCCAGGCTGCCTCCTCGGCGTGGCCACCCGCTGCTGCAGGCCACGCTCGTTCTCTCCCGAGGTCCTTCTTCCCGAGGTTCCACTAGATCGGTCGGAGGCCCAGCGGCGTGCTGGGGGCAGCCCTGAGGGCAAGGGCGGGGTCACAGAGAGGGGGCAGGCGGGAGGGCTGAGGAGGATGGGTGAGCTCTTTGGAACCGTGTGGACGTCAGAGAAGGGCGACGAGACAGCACCGGCGGCATCCCGTCAGACCGGATGGGCTGCTGCGTTGAGCTGTAGCAGCAGCGGTGGGCAGCCAGCTGAGCGGAGTCGGGCGTGACAGGCCCAAGCAGGGCTCAGACCCACCTTCCTGGGCCCAAGCACCCTGGTGCCCGGAGGGAAAAAAAAAAAAAAGGAGGAGGACCCGCTCCTTCATCTGGCTCATTGGCAGGAACCCTGAGTCTTCAGAGGACGACCTGGAAGGTCACAGCCCCTGGCTGCGTCCCAGCAGGCGGAGCCTGGACGGCCTTGGGCTCGGGCAGCCCGGGCGGCGCTTCACCTGGTGCGACAGCTGGACATCCTGTTCTCGGGCGGAGGCGGCGGTCACTCGCCGACCTCGGCGCTCAGACGCTGGTCACGTACATGGTTTCGGTCCACAGCTGCCTCTCTGCACTGTCTGTGCCCTCCCCAGTGAGGGCCCGCTCCGGGACGGCCTCCTTGGCCCGCAGGGCCTGCTTTTCCTGCTCCTGCTTCTCCTTCCCCCGAAGGGCACAGAAGCCGCCAAGCATGAAGAGGGCCGCCGAGAGGAGGAAGAAGCTGGACATGTAGAAAACGTAGCTGAAGTTGCTGTCACTGCTGTCCAGGAGAAACCCTGAAGGACGGAGAGCAAGTTAGGCCGCCGCCCAGGGCCACCAGCCCCCCACCAACTCTGCGCCCTGCAAGTGCGGGGACTTTATTTTTATCCCTGTTGGAGCCCCAGTACCAGGAATTGTGGCTGATGCCTAGCAGGCACTCGCTACATCGTTGTTAAATGAAAGGGGAAGAGGAAACACTAAACCTGCTCTAGCCCAGGCCAGGCTGGAGAGCACTTAAGGGCATGCCTTTCTGACCCTGGTGGCTGGAAGCTGAGCAGACCAGGGCCAGTGGAGCCCGGGACATCTGCTTGGCCACGCCCAGCACCCCCCCCCCCCACCCCCCGCCAGGTTCTTCCTCCCAGAGAGCTCTCTTTACTTCCCTATTTGCTGGCTCAATGGCACACTCGGGAGAAGACTCCCCATCATCTTAGTGTAATGGTCGCCGTTGCGACCACAGATATGTCCCTTTGCTTTAACCCCCAGTGCTGCCACCAGAAGGGAAGTCTGCGCGCCCAGTCACGCACACCCAGGGACCGGCACAGGTCCCTGTTGCAATGGTTGTGACAGGTGCTCTTTTCTGCATTTCGCAGGTGACACTATGGCTCAGAGAAGGTAAATGACTGGGCAGGTTCCCACAGGCAGGAAGTGGGAGAAGCAGGATGTTAATAGCAGCAAATCCTTGCTCCGTGCCAGCTTCCCTGCTGAGCTCTTTATGGCATAACCTGTGACCCTCCCAACCAGCCTGCCGGGTAGACTCTATTATCTTCCCTCACTTTGCTGATAAGAAAACAGAGGTACAGAGAGAAACACAACAGAGTCAGGTAAGCCTGATAAGCAAACCCCTATTTTTAAGTGTTCACACCCCAGGTGACAGCTGGGGAACAAGCTGGAGCCAGTCCCTTGGGACTTTTGGGAAAAGGACAGGCTCCAAGTCCCCGCCGCTGGGGTCCTGGACGGGGCCCAGAGCTGGCCAGACAGTGCTCCCTTCGCCTGGCTCCCAGGCCACACCCCCAACCCCCAGCGGCCCTCCCTCCCTCGGCCCCACCCCTCCCGGGCCTCACCAGCCATGGGGGGAGAGATGAGGATGGAGATGCTCTCCAGGATGGTGCAGAGGCCCAGGGCCCTGGAGAAGCGGTCCATGGGGACAATGTCCATGAGCACCTGGAAGAAGAGGGCGCCGATTATGCTCATGGACACGCTGTACACCAGGCAGTAGCCCACCAGCACTCGGAAGTCGGCCGACACGGTGCACACCAGGTTGGTGAGCCCGTTGAGCAGGATGGCTAGGCTGAACAGGTACTTTCGGTAGCTGGCGAAGCCCTGCCGCCCTGCCAGCAGCCCGGCCAGGGGCCGCAGGAAGATGTTGCTGAAGCCGATGATGGAGACGAGCAGGGCCGCTTTGTGCTCGTCCACCCCGTGCCACATGGCGTAGGGCACCAGGAAGATGTGTGGCAGCAGGAACCCGAGGATCATCCACGCGACCCCCAGCGTGAACACGCGGTAGCCTGCGTTGTGCCACAGGATGTCGAAGGCCAGGTGGCGCAGGGTGAACTGGCCGCATGCTGCCAGGCAGCCGGGAGCGGGCGTCTTGGTAGGCGGAGGAGGGCCTTTTCTGGTTTCGGGAGCCGTGCCGGTGGCCACTGGCCTCAGGACGGCCCCGCAGACACAGCAGTGGAGAAAAACCCCGCCGAAGACGAGGAAGGTGCCCCTCCAGCCCAGGTGCTCCAGGAGGTAGCGGGAGAGCAGCGGCCAGAGTGTGATGCCCAGGGAGACGCCCAGTGAGGCCAGAGCGTTGGCCAGCGCCTGCCGGCGGGTGAAATAGAAGCCCAGTACGGTGATGGTCGACTGGAAGCTGAAGCACAAGCCCAGGCCTACGGTGGAAGAGTGGAGACCAGCTCGAGGGGGTTCCGGGGCCTCCCACTGCACCCACAGTGGGATCGCAGGGTCCTGTCCCACGTCTGCTCTCCTTCCCTCCGAGCCCGGACCCCCCTCCAGGTCCCAGGGACTCAAGGTAGACTCAGCCTGGCTTGCCTCCTCCCTAAAGCATCCCCAGCCCTCACATGTGCCCTCCCAAAGGCTCCCAGGGACACACCAGTCCCCTTGGCAAAGCACCTGGGTGATCTTTAAAAACTGAAATCAGCCCTGGCTGGTGTGGCTCAGTGGATTGAGTGCCGGCCTGAAAACAAAGGGGTCGCTGGTTCAACTCCCAGTCAGGGCACATGCCTGGGTTGTGGGCTGGGTCCCCAGTAGGAGGCGCATGAGAGGCAAAAACACACTGATGTTTCTCTCCCTGTCTGTCTCCCTCCCTTCCCCTCTCTCTAAAAATAAATAAATAAAATCTTTAAAAAAAAACACCCTGAAATCAAATTAAGTCTCTCCCCTGCTTAACACCGTCCAGAGACTTCCCATCGTGCGTAAGAAGAAAGTGTTTAGCCATGGCTGGCGTAGCTCAGTGGATTGAGCGCGGGCTGCAAACCAGGCATTGCAGGTTCGATTCCCAGTCAGGGCACATGCCTGGGTTACAGGCCACGGCCCCCAGCAACCACATATTGATGTTTCTCTCTCTCTCTTTCTCCTTCCCTTCCCTCTCTAAAAATAAATAAATAAAATCTTTTTTTTTCTTTTTTTTTTAAAGATTTATTTATTTATTTATTTTAGAGAGGGAAGGGAGGGAGATAGAGAGAGAGAGAGAAATATCAATGTGCGGTTGCTGGGGGTTCTGGCCTGCAACCCAGGAATGTACCCTGGCTGGGAATCAAACCTGGGACACTTTGGTTCCCAGCCCGCGCTCATTCCAAATAAAATCTTTAAAAAAGAGAGAAGAAGGCATTTACTCTGTCCCAGAGGGCTCCACGCGATCTGGCTCCTGGCCACTCGCCCTGCCACTGATGACAATGCAGCCACATCAGCTTCCTTCCTCTGGACACCACGCTGCTCCCTACCTCTGGGCGTTTGTCGTTTCCCGTCCCCCTGCCGGGAACATACCTCTCCTGACTTTGTCCTCCTAACTCAGCTCAGACACCACCTCCCTGTCCAACTCTGGGCCTGCCCCAGTGCAGCTGAACATTCTAGAGAGAAAGCTCACAACTACCCATGACCACAGGCCACAGGCGGCCTCTGGGTTGCCCGGGATGCCAACATGTGTCCCTTGTCCGTTTATTCCCCTTCCTCCTGGATGACCCCCAGGCTTTCCTCCTCTTGACTCTCCACACCTCACCCCTCCTCACTCCCGGCTGACACCTGCCTTCCCGCCCGTGACAGCGGGCCGTCCGACCTCCCCCTTGGGGCCAGCCCTGCATCTTGTCCACTCACAGGCACCTCTCTCCAGCAATGTCCCCCTCTCGCATCATCCGTTTTCTCTTTTCCAGCTCACTCTCCTTCATCGTTGTTTCTCCCATTAAAAACCAAACCATCCCTGGCCGGCGCAGCTCAGTGGATTGAGCTCGGGCTTCGAACCAAAGCGTCGCAGGTTCGGTTCCCAGTCAGGGCATGTGCCTGGGTTACAGGCCACGGCCCCCAGCAACCGCACATTGATGTTTCTCTCTCTCTCTGTCTCTCTTTCTTCCTCCCTTCCCTCTCTAAAAATAAATAAATAAAATCTTTTTTTTTAAAAAGGACCAACTTTCCTCGTGTTTCTAAAATATCCCTTAAAAAAAAAAAACCCTCTCTGGACCCCATGGCCTCTTCTAGACTCCGGCCTGTCGCTGTGCCCCCCTGACACTGCGGTTTCTCGCAAGTCCTTATCATCTCAGATGAACCAGATTTCTCTCCTCCCGTTCTCGGTGGAAACTGTTCCCGTCAGACCGGTACCCCCAGCCCTGCTCCAGAACTGCTCGTACCCAGGTCTCCAGCCTCTACGTCGCCACATCCAAACAGTCCGGTCCCCATTCAGTCTGAGCTGTCAGTGGCTTGACACAGTCGATCACTCCCTCTTCCTCCTGAGCTGTCTCCGTTCACGTCCCCGAGAACCCCCACCCCTGTGGTTCTCCTCCTTCTCTGTCACTTCTGCGAACCCTTCAAGCGGCTGCCCGTCTCACTACCACGGCACCTCCACCCAGCCCGGCCCCTCCCCCTTACTGACCACCCACCGCATTGCTCCTCGACACCTCGGGGCCTTGGCACGTGCTGCTCCCTCTGCCTGGAACGCTCCTCCCCACACGGCCTGGTGGCAGGCTCCCTCCGTGAGCTCTCTGCCCAAAGGGTGCCGTTGCTGCAAGGTCCTGGCTCCCGCCTCGTTGAGAACGGCTCTCCCCCACCCCCAACCCTGCCCGTCTTTCACGGTGGGCGTGCCAGACGCTCGCCCGATCCACTCCTCACATCAGCGGTCCTGTCTTCTCACGCACTTGTCACGATCAGATACAACCCTTCCTGTGTATCTGTCCTCCCTGCCCCCCACCCCCACCCCGGCTCTCTCACGGGTTCCCTCGCTTTGCCCGCCCTGACCCCTGCGCCTGGCGCTCTTTAGCTGGTGTCCAGCAGTTCCCGGGACGGGGAGACAGTCACCTGTGAAGAATCCTGCCGCGGTGTAGAGCTGGCTGAGGGTGTGGCTGAAGGAGCTGGCCGCCATGCCCAGGCAGGCCAGCACACCCCCCGCCATGACCGTCGCGCGGCAGCCGAAGCGTCCCACCAGGATGCTGCACAGGGGGCCTGTGGGGCGGAGGCAGGAGGAGCAGGGGTGAGGAGCCCGCCAGCAGGGGGCAGCGGACTGAGCGGGTCTGGAGGGAGGGGCCACAGAGTGAGGCTGGGAGGGGGTTCCCGCAGGAAGGGGTCAGGAGGCTTAAAGGGCATCATCAGCCCTGGATCCTGGTGCCCACTCTGCCCCAGACTGGCCAGGTGGCCTGGGCAAGGCTCTCCCTCTCTCTGCCTCAGTGTCCTCTGCTACAGCATGAGGACTCAGACTGGGCGATGGCCAACCAGACAAAGGCCCCAGAGGCGCAGGCCGGGGACCTCGCTGCCCGGGCCTGAGGCTGCGAAACGGGCCTGGCTCACGACCTCTGTGGCCACTCCTCACTGGGGGCCTGTCTCAGAGGGCGGGGGTCCTGGGCATCTAAATTGTGGTGAGCATCCCCAGGCCCTGCTCCTACCCCATCCTCAAGAAGACTGGCCACAGCCCTTCCCCCATCCGTCCACCTATGCAGGGTGGGCAGCCGGGGCCCCAGACCACTCTGCAGCCCCCGCACCAGCCTCCGGAGAAAATTGGGTGGGGAACCTCCCCCTCCCCCGTCCCCTCCAGCCACCACCTATCTTGTGCCCAGATGTTTGGCTTCTGTCTGGAGAGGGGCCTGTTTTCCTCCACCCCACCCCCACCAGAGTGGCTTGCTTCCGGCCCAGACCCGGAGGAGGAGGAGGAGAAATGAGCCAGTCCTGGCCGGCAGCTCAACACCCTGCGAGGCCCGCTCCCCGAGTGCCCTGCCCCCATGTGCTCGTAATGGAGTTTCCAGGAGAGTGAGTGCGTACACAAGGTGTGTGTGTGTGTGTGTGTGTGTGTGTGTGTGTGTGCGTGTGCTTGGGGTGCAGAGGGGATCTGTGGGTGTGAGCTGCTATGAATTTGGGAGTGAAGAGGAAGTGAGCGGCGCATTCTTCAGAGATAATCAAGCAGAGGGAGGCAGCTGCAGGGGGAGAGGCCAGGCTTCGGGGTGGATGTGACCATGGACCCGCACGTCTCCCCGCCACCCTGCTTTGACCCGACTTAGGAAAGGTGATATTGGGGAAAACCCTGAGTCATGAGTTGGGGGTGGGGCTGGGACAGGTGCCAGCCTAGCTGAGGGTGCTGGGGCGAGGCACCGGGTGTTTCTTCGGCAGGGCGCTGCCTCTGCCCCGAAGCAGACCTTGGGCAGCTCTGCAACCTTGGGCAGGCCCTGCACCTTGTCCTTGCTTGCTTTCCTCCCCTCAACTGTGTCAGTGCTGGCGACACCTAGGATCCATGAGCCTTTGGCATTTAAAGCTTCTATCAGACTCTGAATGAGCATGGGCTGAAGGCTGTGTGTGTGTGTGTGTGTGTGTGTGTGTGTGTGTGAAAGACACAGACAGACCAGACATGCAGGGCTCCCAAGCCAGCTGAGATGTTGGGGACTGCTGGGGGGCAGCGAGTAAAGCTGGCTGGGGAGTCGGGGTCCCCAGCAGATGCCCGGCTCCCAGAGCCTGGCCCACAGGCCTCTGCGGCTGCGTGGAAGGAGCCCCCTGCGGTTCTCACTTTGGCACCTGCCTCCCAAGTGAAGAGGCCGTGTGGCCAGGGCCAGGCCTGGCCTCTCCCCTTGCCCTGAGCCCATGCCCTAAGCCTGTGCCCTGAGCCCACACCCTGGGTGCCAGGTTCAAGAGTTGCTCCAGCAAAGGCAGCACCTATCACAGCCTGACCTCCCTTCCTTCCAGTTGGAGGGAGGGAACTGGAAGGATAAGCAGGTGCCAGGTGGAGGGAGTGGCAGGAAGCAAGCACACCCCCACGTGGGGAGCCCTGCGGCCCCATCGGCCCCCACTCCAGTTGACCCGGCCCCCCACCCCTGGAGGCCACTGTCTGCAGGGTCTCCCCGGAGAGCAGCCAGAACTGAGCCCACAACTGCGGTGGAGAACGCTCCCGGGTGGCTGCTGACCTTCCCCTAGGGCTGGGGTCCGGGTGAGGTGGTCACGGTCCTGGAGGAGCCAACGAGGAAATGCGGGGGCTGCCTTCCCTCCATCTCCCAGCCCTGGCAACCCCTCCTCTGCTTCCTGGTGAGAGACGGGGCTCTCACCCTGTCCCCATCGTGCTCCCGGCGTCCGCAAAGAGCCGGTTTTCCCCTCCTGAGGCCTGGGAAGGTCTCCAGGATACGAATCATTCACGCTACTTAGGCCTCCGCTCTCAGCATCGCCGAGTGTCGTGTGCTCTTCCCTTCCAGCCCACATGCGAGGTGGGCGGGATGCTGGGTGCTGCTCCCAAAGGGCAGGGCGGAAACCAAGGTTCAGGGTGACCTCCCAGCCGCTCCCCAGGCCACTCCTCCCCCAGGGGCCCCTCAGTATGTACCCCGGGCACCTCCCTGCCTTCATGCCTCCGCAGCCCGGCCCCGCCCCGCAGGACTCCAGCCAGGGGAGTGGGCCCCACCGAAATCAGGTGAAATCTCAGGGATTCATCTGGAAAGGCAAAGCCTGTGGCCTCTGACAGGGGGACCCAGGAGGCCAGGGAGGTCACGGCTCTTTCCCACCGGGAGCTGCCCGCGCCTCCCTCCTCGGGCTGCTTACCGCCGGCGTGGAGCATGGCTGTCAGGATGGAGGGGAACCAGGAGGTCTCGCTGTTGCTGGCCTGGAACTCATGCTGCAGTTCGGTGAAGAAGATGCCGAGGCAGGGGGGGAAGCCCAGGGTGAGGCCCTGGGCCACCACGGCAGCCAGCAGGACGACCCAGGCCCAGGAGCCCTCCGCACGTTCCAGCGCCTGGGGCATCGTCCGCTGGGAACGCCGCCCCGGCCTCGTGGCCACAGCTATCAGGGCCTGGGCTGCCTGGGGAAGGGACAGGATGACGCTAACAGCCCTCCCCCGGCTCACCTGCCACCTTTCCTGGGCGACTGAAACCGTCCCTCCCTCTTGCCTCAGCGCCCGGTGTCAGAGGAGCACCACCCACTCTGGGAGGCGGCCAGAGGCCCACGCGATGGCCTTGGCATCTCCTTTCACCCACTTCCCAGAGCCGGCCTGGCAGGAGGGGCAGGCAGGTGAGCGATCGGTGGGATAAGGCAGATAGGTGAGTGGGATTCTTTCATCACTCACTCAGTCTAACATCACTTAGGGGTCAGCAGGGGCCACTTCCTGTCCCAGACTTGCCCCGCCCCCCCCAGCAAACACTCAGTAGCTGGGTGTAGATGAAGCAGGTCTCTAGGGTCAGTGCGGTCCCACGGACCCCTCAGACAGACACACACACACACGCGCGCCCTCTGAGAGCCAGGCTTCCTGCACACAAACACAGACTGTGGCAATGCCACACCAACAGCAAAGTTCACCGTCAGTGCTCTTGTGGGGCCCAGGGCGGGCGAGCCGGTGCAGGATGCAGCCAAGGAGCACGCACAGAGCAGCTGGACGCCGGCGCCGGCGAGCAGCGCTCTGGGAGAAGGCAGGGCAGCGCCCCGAAGCCCTCCCGCCGCGCCCTGCAGGCTCCTTTCACGGAGAGCCGTGGCCCGGGGTCAAGGTCCACGGGCACGCTGAACAGTGAGCGACCACCGGCAAGGGCCTCTCGGAGCGCCCCTCACGCGCGTAACACGCACTCACAGGTGGGTGCGCAGTCACAGATAGGCACGTTTCAAGACGCAGGTTTGCACACAGGCACGAGGGTAGACGCCCGCTTACACGGACACACACAGACAGACACACGCCCCTCACAGCTGCGGCTCAGCACTATCTCAGGTCCTTGCCACCACCGGCCCAGTCCTCCTCCCCCCAGAAGCCACCTTAACCAGACCTTAGAAGCCCTAGGCCCCCTGCCTAGAGGCGGAGCCCTTTCCCAGCCCCCTCGCTCCATCCTGGCTCTCCCTGGTGCCCTCTGACCTCGCCCTCTGACCTCACACACGCAGGGCTCCAGGGCCAGCGGGCGATGGGAGCGACTTCCGCCGCCGTCAAGCCAAGGGGCCCACGAGCAACTGCCCCACGGCCTCCCTCCTTTCAGCCCCGGGTCCGGGGAAAACCCACGGAAACCCAGGACACTCTCGGAAACACGAAACCCCCTCCGCCGGCCAAGCCCCGCGGCCCACACCTCTCCCCCAGGCCCAGCGGCTGTACGAGGGCAGGCGCCTTCGCTGGATCCACCCTGAAATGACTCCTTCCCTTGCTTCTCGGGGTACAGCCCTGCCCAGGTGAACGTCCCATTCATCCCAGCCCTCAGGGTGCGCCCACGCGCGTGCGTGACTGTGAGTGTGAGTGAGTGTGTGTGTGGCACCTGCTGGCCTCCTGGCTCCTGCCCAGGACACTGGCCCTAGAGATGCCCTCAGCCCCGACCCTCCCTGCCCGGCTTTAGGCCGGGGAAACCTCAGAGGCCACTCCTCTAGCACACCGACTTCCGTCCCTTCCACGATTTCTGTTCCCTCAGCAAGTGGAAAGGCCACCAGTGCCACCCGATCCTCTCTACGGTGACCTGAATGTCGGTCTCCACACCCTTCTCCATAGCTCGCCCCTCCTCCTCCCTGACACGCCCTGGCCCCTCACCCTTCTGGGACCTGCCACTGTCCAGTCTCCCCCCCGCCCAGCAGGGCCACCAGCCTTCCTCTGCAGCCCCCGCCTCCCCCTGCCCTGCCCTCCCTGCTGCCCCTGCACTCCCGAGCTCCGTGTCCCTTCAGAGCCGCAGCTCACTGTCGCCAAGCCAGAGGTGGCAGGGAGGAGACTGTAGAAGAAACAAGTGGGGGGTCTCAGTGGCTGGACTCCAGCCACCTGCCCCCACCCCACACCCCACCTCGCAAAGCTCTTCTTGTTCATTCCCGTCCTGCCCCTCCACGGAGAGGTCCCTCCAGCGCCCTGCTCGGCAGCCACTTCTCCGGGCAGGACCTTTGGGGGACTTTTGTCCAGCATTCTGGCTTTCACTGCCATGTGGCCGGCTCCTCACAGCTCCTCCTCCCTGGGGCCTCCCGGGACAACCAGCGTCTAGGAACCCTGAAGCACCTTTGTCCTCTCTCTGCTTGTTGCCTCCCGGGCTGGGAGAGCCCTGGGGACCCTCTGGGAGCTCCCAGACAGACCCAGCCTCAGGTTGGGGAAGGAGAGGGTCTTCCCCTCCCACACCCCCAGCAACTCCCAGGCCACACACACAGTTTTTAAGTCCAGCCCCTCTCCTCCAGCAAGCTGCCCCCACACCCCCCACTGCCACCACTTGCCTACAGTGGTGGTTCCTTCCTCCAAAACCCTTAGCCTGAGAAAAATCGGACCGGTCCTTAAAGATTCAGCCCTGAGGGCGCCCCTAGGAGGCTACCCGGACCCTCATCCCCAGCTGGACTAGACCCCCTTCGTGTTTTCTCTCCTTAGTAGGGGCTTTCCAGCCCCAGCCGGTGTGGCTCAGCAGATCGAGTGCCGGCCTGCAGACCAAAGGACGGCAGGTTCAATTCCCAGTCTGGGCACATGCCTGGGTCGTGGGCTGGGGACACGCGAGAGGCAACCACACACTGATGCTTCTCTGCCTCTCTTGCCCCCCTCCCTAAAAGTGAATACATAAAATCTCTTTAAAGAAAAAACAGTGGTTTTGCCCTGGCTGGCGTAGCTCAGTGGATTGAGCGCGCACTGCGAACGAAAGTGTCGCAGGTTCGATTCCCAGTCAGGCCACATATCTGGGTTGCAGGCCTTGACCCCCAGCAACTGCACATTGACGTCTCTCTCTCTCTCTCTCTCTCTCTCTCCCTCCCTTCCCTCTCTAAAAATAAAAATAAAATAAAATCTTAAAGAAAAAACAGTGTTTTTTATACTACGCTGGAGTGGTTCCACCCTTTGTTCATCGTGCCCCCTCGCCTGTGCCCCCTCCCCCCGCTTTTACACCATAAGCATCTGTTTCCGAGCTCCCGCCCAGCCTCCGGCAGAGCACGAAAGTCATCCAGATGTGACCCACCTGCGTCCCCCAGACGGAAGGCAAGTCCGGCACGAAGGGCGACCTGGCTCCGTGGCAGGCAGGCCCATCGCAGAAGACTCCCGCAGCGTAGGGACGAGACGGGGCCGGGGACTCGGGCTTTGCCTCTGCCCCGACAGGGAGACGATCTTGCTTTTGTGCACGGAACCATGAGTCACCGTCGCCGCCTGCTGTGCGGTTGGGACACGGAGGGAGATGTGGCTGGAGATACCTCACTGGCACTTGCTGGGACGCGCGGTGAGCCGCCTGCCACCCACCTCGGCCCTCGGGGTCACCCCCCACGCCCCCACCCGCAGGGGACCATCTTCACACCCAGGTGACGATGCCAACATGACATTTCTTGTCCCCCTGTCGTCACACAGCTTCCAGTCTGTGTTCAGGCCTCCTCACCAGGTGGCAGGCGCCTTGCTAGGCCCCCGCAGAACCCTGTCCTGCCGGTCTGGGGTCAGAAGGCCGAGCCGATGCTCTCAGACGGGGGCTCGGGGTTCCCCCGCTGCCTCGCGGACTGGAGAGGACTCTTTCTCTTTCACTCCCACCCTTTCCCCAGCTCTTCCCACCGTCGGGGGGTGAAAAGGGCAGCCACGGGCCCCAGAGCCCAGAAAGGATGGGCAGCCCCGCGAAGCCCCTGGAGACCCCTTTCGTCCGTCACCAGACCACCTACTACGTGTCAGGCAGGAATCCGCGCCTGGAGCCTAGGACACAGCACAGGAGGCAGTAGGGCTCCCCGCTGGGCCCGGACAGCCGCAAGAGCAGCTTGAACTTGGGGCCACCAGCCCTCCAACCCTGGCACCCGGCAAAGGCCCCGGGAAGAAGAAGGCAATTCCAGAGGTCGGCGAGCTGGGGCCAGTCTCCCGGTCCCTTCTGGGTCCGCGAACGTGCCCCACCTTTCCCGCGGGGCCGGCAGACCACAGCCTGGGAGGGGGATGGGACGGCCAACAGAAAGCCACGACCTCTCGTCACCCCGGGCCAGACCGTGTCCCTGTCCTCGGGATCTAGTTTCCACTGGGCTTCCCACCCTCCGCTGGACGGCGCCGCTCTGGGTGGGGCTCCGCTCCCGCGTGCCCATTTCAGGCCAGGCCTTGGGGCCGCCCGTCCCCTCGCTCCCCAGGCCGCGGAGGGCAAGGAGTCGCTTTGGAGAGACCCCCCTCTGGGGGGATTCCGCAGCCACCCAGGGCTGTGGGAGCCCTGGACCCGGGACAAAAAGGCTTTTCCGCATCCTCACCCTCAACAGGCGGGAAGGGGCCCGGGTGGCCCGGAGCAGGGAGGGTGTGCCCCGCGCGCGGACGGAGACCCCGGCAGGGGGCGCCTTGGGAGCCGTGGGGGGGCCCGGGAGCCCGCTTACCGGCTCGCAAGGGCCCGGGCATACCCACTGCTCCGCTCCCGCCGAGCGCGGCTTCCTGCGGCCCGGCCCGACCCTCCCGCGGGGACAGGCCAGGCGCCGCGGCCAGGGGGAGGCGGGCCGCCGGCGCCGGTGGGTGGGACCGCCTCGGGGCCTCGAGGTGTGGGGGGCGGGACGCCTGGCCTTGAGGTGGGAGGGCGTGGCGTGGCCCGGGCCGCCACCCCTGCTCCCAGCCAGGTTCCCTCCCCGGAGGCGCCAGGGGGCCGTCCAGCCCCCGGGGTCTGACCCCGGCTCGGCGGGTTCGTTTGCATGTCGTTAGCGCGTCATTTGCATAGAGCGTAAGCTCGCTCTTCAGCTTCCCGATTTTAGGATTTTAGAGTCCCGGGTGCCAGGGCCCCGGCGGTCGGAGGGAGGGAGCGAGTGCTGAACCCGATGAAGAGACTCCATCTCCCAGCCGGAATGCGGTGCAAGGCCAGGGCTGAGGGTTCCTCCTTTGCGGGCTTTAGATGCCCAGGGCTCCTTCGGGTGCGAGCCTACAGCTTGGAGGGCCACGCCCAGGGGAACCCACGCACACAGCTGAGGGGGAGCAGAAAAGAAAGCCAAGCCCCTCAGGCCTGGGAGCTGCTCAGAAGACGCCCACCATGTCCGATTGCGCCTGCAGAGCCACAAGGCCCCCATCTCCCCCCTCAGCTAGCCAGCCCTCCACCCGCACTGTTCGAAATGTACTCAGTTGAGACAGAGCTCCAGAAATGAACACCGTGGCCCTGGCCTACGGGTAGACACGTAGACCAACGGGCTAGAACTGAGAATACACCCGTACGGGTACCGCCGACTGATTTTCCGCAGGAGTGCTGAGACAACGCAACGTGGGGAGGGTGGTCGCTGCACCGATCCGTGGGGGAACAACTGGACGCCCACAGGCGAAAGGATGAGGCTGGACTTCTACCTTGCCCCACGTAAAGGAAAAAAAAAAAAAAGGACCACAGAAGGAACTGTGAGGATGAAAACTGTCAGGAGAAAACATAGGAGTAAACGTTCACAACCTTGGACTAGGCGAGGGGTTCTTCCTCGCGGCACCAGAGGCGCATGGGACCAGGGAGAAACCGCACGCCCGGTGGGCATGGACCAAGTGGAAAACTTGTGCGCCCAGAGGACACCGCCCGGAAGGGAGAAGGCGACTCTCAGGATGGGCGACTCTCAGGAACCGTGCACCGGAGAGGGGGCACTTGCACCGAGAAACCGGTGCAGCTCAGCGATGGAAAGGCGACCTCGCTGGCAGTGGGCCCAGGACCCGAGTGGGTCGCTCGCTCCCCGAGGAAGGAGGCGCACAGCCGGCCGGCAAGCCCGCGAAGGCAGACGCTCTGCGTGCGCATTCAGCAGGGAAGTGCAGCTCAGCCCACGAGGAGACACCACGCGCCACCCACCAGGATGGCTCCACTCCCGGGCATCTCCTGCGGGAGGCGGTTGCGTCAGGAGGTAAGGCGTGCCTGTCGCGTCCTGAGTCACCGCTCTGCCTGGGGCTCATCCTGTCGCTGCCTCCAGGCTGGCGTCGGCTCCCACACGGCGGGAGGTTCAGTGTTAACTCCAAGGTCTCTGGGGGTAAACCTCGGGCGGAGGGGTTGGGATCTATTAAGATTTATTTTAGGATCCTAGGGGACTCGATGGTAATGGGAAAAGTGTAATAAAGATTACACACACAAGCCCTGGCTGGAGTAGTAGCTCAGTGGATTGAGCGCGGGCTGGGAACCAAAGTGTCGCAGGTTCGATTCCCAGCCAGGGTACATGCCTGGGTTGCAGGCCACGGCCCCCAGCAACCGCACATTCATGTTTCTCTCTCTCTCTCTCTCTCTCTCTCTCTCTCTCTCTCTCTCCCTCCCTTCCATCTCTAAAAAATAAATAAAATCTTAAAAAAAAAGATTACACACACACACACATATATATGTATATATATAAAGATTTATCTTATGATCCTATAGAAACGAGCCCAGACTTTGAGGGTCCTGTGTGGGGGACAGAGAGGGTCAACTTTGGGGTCTGCGTCGCCTTGGCACTCCTTACCTCAGCCTGGCTGGGCCCTGTGAGTGGCAGAGCCCACCCTGGGTACTGAGAACAGGCCGAGGCAGCCTCCTGCCCCCTCCCTGGGTACTCTGGCAGGACCCAGGGACTTTCTGGAAGATCTTACCCTCTCTGAAAAGATCAAACAGGGAGGTTTCCCAGGGACACCACTGTCCTCTGGGGAGCCCCACTTGAATCTTCAACCTGTACTTCATCGAGATGAAATTGGTAGATTTGTGAGGACCCTGCCCCCCCACCACCACCCTGGACTGTGGGTGCTTCTCCGTTATGAGGTTCCCAGCAGGCTGGGCCATGGTCACTGTGGCTATGGCACTAGGAGCCAGGGCCTTGGGCACCCACGGGCAGTCCCCAGCCTTCCCCAACCTCCCTCTGTGACTGTCCCCTGAGAGTAGGTCTCAGCACGCAGGCTGGTCACCAGACCCAGTTTGGTTAGGGCCTCTGACAGTCATCAGTGGGGGGTGAGTGACCAGGGACCCAGACTGGGGGAGGGGGTCGTCATACTATAGATAAGGGAACTGAGGCACATCCTGGAAGAGAAAGGGAGGCACTTGCTCAAAGTCACAGATCTTTAGAAATTAGCAGTAGATCATTGGTACTTAATAGCATAATTGCCACACACCAGCAATAACCACCTCCATCGCATCCCATGTGACGTGGAACTCCCTGAGAGCTTTGTGTGTGTGTGGTTGTGCTCTCCTGGAACACTCTGTCCTGCTGATCCTTGTTTACCTGGTTGGCCTGCAGGTGCCAGCTTAGAAGCCCCTTCCTCCAGGAAGGCCTCCCAGACCTCCCAAGTTGAGACATTAATCCTGCTGAGCGTTATATCTCCCCTACTAAGCTCCCTAAGGCTTGCCCTGCTGATCAGTGCTTCCCTAGCTCTTAGCACAGGGCACAGCACAGCATAATAGTTACTCTAATGATAAGGGTCCCACGAATGCCACATGGTTCTGGGTTCTGCCCAGGTACTGACTCATTGGCTGAATGAAGGGATTGAGTATCGCTCACCCAAGTCACTCCCCCATTCCCGGGTCTTGACACTCCAATCCTTGAGCCTGGGGTCCTTTAAAAACATTTAATTACTTGAGCTCTGGCTGGCATAACTCAGTGGATTGAGCTCAGGCTGTGAATCAGGCATTGCAGGTTCAATTCCCAGTCAGGGCACATGCCTGGGTTGCAGGCCACGGCCCCCAGCAACCACACATTGATGTTTCTCTCTCTCTCTCTCTCTCTCCTTCCCGTCCTTCTCTAAAAATAATAAATAAATAAAATCTTTAAAAAATATTTAATTACTTGAAAGCTCTGGGATGGACTCCTGGTCCTTTTACCTCTGCCCAGCTCTCGGCCTCTGCTGGGACCCCCGGGCATGCCTGGCGTAGCCAGGGCACCCTCTGCTGGAAGAACGGGGACAAGGTCTGCTCCAGCTCTGGATGCCCGTCGGTGGCTGGGCAGCTCCGTGCCTGCACCTGCCAGTTCAACAGCCCCTTCTTCACCGGCTGTAGGGCAGCTTCTGCGTCCTTTCCCCATGTGACCCCCTCTGCCTGTCTGCACAGCGCAGGTGGGAGCTTGTCAGCTGGCCCCCGAGGCCTAGGCTGTGCCGCCCAGCTGGCTATTTCCCCCAGGACCCCCTGAAGTCAGATCTGATGAGCATAGTCTGTCCCAGGGCTGGCCATAGAGGCTGGCCGTGATGTTGGGGGACCCACTCCCCCACCCCACTCTACTCCAGCCCCGCCCCCTGGGGGGGCCAGAGATGTCCTGATCTCTCCCGCTCAGGGGCAGTGGGATGCCTATTGCTGAGGCCGGGGCTGGGGCACAGGACAGGGGAAACTGTAGGGCAACCTCATGCCTCCTGACCTGGGACTGTCCCTGTGCGGAGCCCTGTCCCGATGTCAGCTGTGTGGGGAGAGGCGGCGGCCCTACATCAGGCAAGCAGCGCGCCTGGAGCCGCAAGCCCGTCACAGCCCACGCTCCGAAGGCCCCGCCAAGGGAGAGGCTGTCGGAGTGGCTGGCGCTCTTGGGCTCAGGGGTGACCTCTCGACCTGAGCCCCCCCCGCTTCCCTGCCTCCTCCTTCCCCGCTCTGTTACCAGACTCTTCTCCAGCCCACACTCTCTCTCTCAAGTTCCGCCCCTGCCAGCAGGTCTGGAGACTGTCTCATGGTCACCCTGACTCAGCCTGTCCCCACGCCACCTTCCTCCACAGCCCAGGCCTCGCCTCCGCTCTTTGACCCGGTCAGAGGCCTCATCTTCCGGTCCGTCCTCCCCTCCGAGGCCTCGCTCAAGTCTTATCTCTTCCTGACACTGGGCCGCTGCGGGCCCCCCGTTGCCTGGATGCTGAGCCTCGATAGGATCTCCCCGCTCAGCCCCCCTGTCTGGACTCATCTCCAGAAGCATCTGTGCTCAGGAGCCGCACCGGAAAGCCTCGCTTCGCCCACGCCTCGGCGGGCTCCGGGCTGCGCACCCGGTTCCCAGCTCTCTCAGCCCGGGCGTGTGCCCAGCAGCTCACCCGCCAGACTCTCCCCCCAACCCCGCCCCCCGACCCCACTCCTCACCCCCTTACCTCTCACCTGGTGCCCTTGTGCCCTCACCTCACCACCAGCACCCTTCCTCTCGCTCAGCCTGACCCCGGCTGCTCAAAGCCCCCCAGATTGTCCTCAAACAAACCGGCCCCCGCTGCTCCGCGGTGCCCAGGGCGCTCCGGAATCGAGTTCGCAATCCTCCCGCGCCCTCGCCTCTGCTCAGCCCTGACCCGAGTTTCATCACCTCCCTGCTCCCGCTCAGGTGCTGCCCCGCTGCCCTGCATAATCCCCGCCATTTGCAATGACAAAGGCCAAGGGCCACCTCCTCTGGGGGGAGTCCCTGATGCCACAGCTTCCCGAGAGCGAGGACCACTCAGGGGACTGTCTGCTCTGGGGTCTCCAGGGCCTGGGAGGACCGGACACCGGGGGCCGAAGACAACGGCTCTTCATTCTGCCACGATCCCGGAGGCCTGACGTCCGAGATCAAGGTGCTGGCAGGGCAGGCTCCTTCTGGAGACTGGTGGAGAATCCGTTCCGTGCCGGTCCCCTCGCTGCCCGTGACGACGCGCCTTCCTGGGTTACTGGGCTCGTCATTCCAGTCTCTGCCCTGCCTTCTCTCCGTGTCTGTCTGTGTCTCTGTGTGTCCATGTCTCCGTCGTCGTATAAGGACACCAGCCACTGGATGAGGGCCCACCCTCCTCCCATAGCGCCTCCTCTGAATCACATCTGCGAAGACCCTGTTCTCAAGTAGGGTCACATTCTGAGGTTCCAGGTGGACATGAGCGTGAGGGGGACACTGTTCATTAGCTTGCAAGCCGTCCAGAACGAGGTAATTGGCCACGGTCGGCTGACTCCCGGTCTAGACGGTTCCGGGACTGATCTTCCTGTCCCGCCGTCGCTGGGTCATATGCTCCGTGAGGACGGGGGCCGCACCGGTCTCGGCTCACTGTCGTGTTCCCACCGCCCGATGCGCGGGAAGAACGTTCCGCCCTCTTTTCCACGCCCCCTCCCCAGCTCAATGAATATTTGTTGAATCAATAAAAATATCCAGGGACACAGGTCAATTCACTAATGAGGTGGATACTATTATTACTTTACTTTTTCCCAGATGAACCATCTAAGGCACAGAGAGGTTAAATAACTTGTCCAAGGTCACGGATTTGTCAGTGGCAGAGCCAGGATTTGAACCCAGACAGTCCAGCTTTGGAGTCTGTGTGCTTAACCACCACATAGTGTTTGTCGAAAGCTGTCATGGAGGCAACGTCAGCGGGACGTGGCCAAACAACCTGCCCCCAGCCCAGCCAGACCCCACCCTCCCACCCCGCGGGCGCGCCCTCCACACGCCGAGACAGTGTTGCTTCTCCAGGAGCACCCGCTGCAGCGCCGCTCCCGGTCACCTCTTCCCCGAGGAGGCTTGATGAGTGCGTGGCTGGAAGCGAGGGTCTGCCCACCCCCGAGCTGCTGTCTTGCTCCCCCCACCCCCCGCATCCCCCACGGGGGGCCCTGTGCCTGGCCCACAGCCGCCACTCCAGGGACATCCGTGGGACATCGGAGCGACCTGGGCAGAACCCTGACCGCACGCATGTCCAGTGCATGTGAAACACGAAAGTCCCCAGACACGCGTCCTCCAGGCAGGGAAAAGCTGGCTGTAAAGCAAGGAGGATTCAGCTTCCAGCAGTCCCTGGAGAGGAACCCAGGCCTCTAAATGGGTGCCCTTGGGTTTTTGTCACTGGGTGGTTTACTTTGGCAAGGGCGAGCGGTCGAACGACTGTCACTCACTTTTCACCTGAAGTGTGGGTGCGCGTGCACAGTGGTAACAACAGGGACATGTGGGGCAGGACTGCTCTGAGCACTGCGGGACACTTGGTGTCCCTGATGCCTCCCCCTGGTCCGGGTATACATTCCAGCAATGCCCTCCAGGCGTGGGACACCCTTGACCCGGGTGAGAGGCAGATGAGGCCGGTGACTGGGCCTCACAGTTTATAGAGATGCCAACGATACTCGGTAACCAAGGTAACGTAATGCAACGTGTTTTCGAGAAAACGAGATCAAACAAACCAGGGCCAGGGAGCAGCCGCCTGGCTTCAGCCGTGCTGGGCGCAGGGCCCCCCTCCTGGGGCGAGGGGCCTGGGGCAGGGAGAGCCGGCGCTGGGGCTGGCCTTCAGTTATAACTTGGAGATGCATCGTGGATCCGGCATTAATTCTGATTTTGTAAACGATTGCATTAAAATATTCTCTGTCTTGAATCCTGAGATTTTTGGCACGGCCCCGTGAGCTGTGTGCCCAAGGCGAGTGCCTGGCTTGCCACGCCCTGGCTCTGCCGGAAACAGACCGCGTGTCGCGGCCAGCTGGGCTGAGCAGCCCCGGGAGTGCGTTCTCCGCGGCACATACAAAGGGCGTCTCTGTCCCGGCTGTGTTACAGATCAGGAAACAGGTGGGGAGAGGCGTGTGTCTGCCTCCTCCCGCACCTGCTGCAGGGTCCTTGGCCTCCCAGAACCTTCTGGGTGCAGGGGAAGCTGGGGTGGAAACAGAGGAGGGGTAGGTGGGTCCTCCGCACCCACCTGGGTGCAGTGGGCACGTGGGCTGAGCTGCGGGAGGGAGCAAAGGCGAGACCCAGGGAGAAGGACAGAGGTGGGTGAGTAGTCACGCTCGGGTCTCCGGCAGCCAGCCTGACCTGGCCCAGGACAGGACCTGGGTGGGCCCGCACTGCAGTCTCTGGAGGCTGCTCCTTCTGTCCTGGGGTCCGCGTTTATGGAGCGCCCGCTCTGTGGCAGGGATGGAGACCCAGAGGGAGTAGCCGGCCTGCCCCCAGCCTCACGGAGAACTCCCGCCTAGGAATACCGAGGCGCCGGGAGGGACAGATGCGGAGGGCCTTATGGAAGCGCAGAGCAGGGGACCCGGCCTGGCTTTGCGAGACTTCTCCACCGGCGTCCCGGAACACAGCCCCTCCTAGCGGGGTCTCCAGGACGGAGGAGGAGAAAGTAACGAGTGAGTGGGCAGGAGTGAGACAGGGGGTGAGGGTGGAGGAGAGCTCTGGGCAGAGGGGACAGCAGGGGCACAGGCCAGCGGGCGAGACGACCCGGGAGGCTCAATGGAGTGGGCGCTGGCGATGACAGTGACTGGGGGCTGCTCGAGGCAAGGAGCTGGGGCGGGAGGGGGCGGGACGGGGCCAGCAGGGTGGCCGGTGATGGTCCACCTCCCTTTAGCCGGCCGGGACCAGTCCAGGTCGCTCCCAGGTGCCTCCCTCACAGAAGTGCCCCGGGGAGCTGGTGTCATCTTAGGTGAGAGGCCCCGCTGCATGCAGGCAAGGGCCCTGCCCCAGGGCCCCACAGGCATCCTCTCCCCGCCGCCACCGCCCCCCACCCCCACCCCGGTCCTGCGAGCAGCATCCCTGGGGTGAGGGGAGGGTCAAGGCTCATTCCCTAGGCAGCTCCTTCTGGTCCTGCTTCCTGTGCTCCCCAGCCTGTGGGATGAGGCCAGGCAGCCTGCTGGACACCACGGAGGCTGCCAGTGTCTGCCGGCCCCTTCTGTGACCGTCCTGGCTTTGGGAGACACTGAGGAGTGACACGGAGGGAGCAACACCTGCGGCTTTGGCTGGCTCGCCACCTGCCACCCACTTCTAGGGGGAGGCAGGGAAGGGGTTCCGACAAAGCAAAGCTATAGGCCAGATGTCACGTAGGGCAGCCGTGAACAAGCCGCTTTGCATTTTGAAAGTAACTTTGGAAAAGGTGCGCAGAGCGAGATGGGCGAAAAGTGCACTCGGGAGCTGCACTGCCGTCTCCCTGGGGTCTGTGTCTCCTGAGCTCTGTCTTTGCAAGAGCGCTGGGAGGAGGAGGAGGAGGAGGGGCTGTCTCTGGGAGGGTGGGATTACAGGTGGCTGGCTTTATTTTCTTCTTTGTTTTCGATACTGCGTACGTTTTCTATAACAAATGCGTTATAGGAGGGCCAATGCAGCATCATGGTTAAAAAAAAAACAGACTGCCCGGGTTTGAGCCCTGGCTCCCCAAATCGTGCACCTTCATGGTCTCGGGGAAGTCCTCCCACCCCCTGAGCTCAGGTTCCTCGTCCCCACAACGGGAGAATTCACGGCACCTGCTTATCGGGTTGCTGTGAGGGTCGAGTGAGTTCATATTTCTCACGCACATTTCACTGGCCGTGACCAGGGGCTGGCGCGGAGGAGGCGCTGGGTATTGGATGAATAAAAGCAAAATTACTTCTCTAGACGATGCAAAAAGACATTTGAAAATGACCCAGGACAGGAACACAATCTTTTTGTAAGGAATAACATGAAACATTTTTTTTCAGAGAAAGTCCTTGGAGACAGATTCTTTTACAGCCTGTTTGGGCTCACAGGGAAGCAAATATTCTTTGCGTGCGAAGGCAAGAGCAGGAAGCATGAGAGGTGTGTGGGTGGCGTTCCGGGGACAGTCCCCTCCCTGGTCTTGGCGCTGTAGGGGGAGGGGGAGGGGGAGGGGGAGGGGAGGGGGAGGGTTCCCCGATGTGGATTTCCAAGAACCCTGGCTGGTCTTGCTCCGGAAGCTCTCCCTTCCCATTCTCCCCCATGAAGCGCATGCTAAGTTTATGAGCAAAGAACACTGACATTTTGGGTTGCTGGCCAGCCTCACCGGTGTGCCGCCGGCTTGCCATTCGGCTTTTTGAAACACCAGAACTCCTTTGTGGACCCCAGGGATTGTCCCCTGGGGACCCCGACGGGTCTAGCGACTCCAAATGAGGAACTACTGTTTAAGAAAGCGAATGACATCCCTCTTACATCCAGATGCTGATTCCTGCCGTGTGACCGAGGGGGTGAGGGTTCCAGGATCACGCCCCGCTCCGCCCTGGAACGGCATGTCCCTCGGAGCCAGAGGGTGCAGGTGGCCACCTCCCACTGTCAGCTGCCCAAGGGGAAGGAGTCTGAGGCCCCCGCTGCTAGCAGAGCGGGCCCCAGTCCCCTCGGGTCACACATCCATGTCCTCGGCATTTGTACCTCTGCCCGCCTGGTGATGCAGAAGCCCACAGCCCCTGCAACCAGGACAAATGAAGATTTGGGGGTGGAGAAGCGAGCGTAAGGCATTTTGGGGGGAGAGAGAGAGAGAGAGAGAGAGAGAGAGAGAGAGAGAGAGAGAGAGAGAGAGAGAGGTGTGTCTCCTGGATAGCATGGAAAGGTTTAGATTGGGCTCCTACCCATCACCACAGGTGGCGGCCCACAGGGACAAGTGGTCGGAATCTGTGCAGAGCAAACACTGCAGGGAGGAGGGTCAGCCCGGGGGGGCCCCCCCAGCCGGGCTGCTCAGAGGAGCTGAAGGGCATGCCCCCCCCTTAACACCTCAGAGCACCCTGCTCCAGGCATCCTGCTGCAGCCAGCTCCGGAAGACCGCCTCCCGCTGAGAAATGGGGGTCACTGACCTCTCTGAGGACAGTCTCCCCCCCCCCCGCCCCCCGCTGTGGAATTCAGGCACAGCCCCGTGGGGCCCTAAGGGTTTTCTCCTGTGACTTGCCTCTCATTTCCTCCTCAGAGCCAATCATTAACTTTATGGAGAACTGCTTGTGAGAAGCCGCAGGAGCCAGTGGCCGGCTGCGGCTGGAAACGCAGAAGCAGCTTCCCCAGAGGGTCCCAGCATACACGGGGGGACTTGCTCACGATTGCCTCACGGGAAAGCTAAGAAATACTAATTCTTAATCTTTTTTTTAATCTATTTGGTGTTTTCCTGGGAATAATAAACAGAAGACTGCCACTAGTTAAAAATATACAAGTGTAGATCCATGAGACTTGGGTGTTGAGCTGCCAAATTTGACTCGGGGGAACGAGACGTGTTGGAGGGAATACCTCAAAAGAAACCCAGGAGGGCAAACACTAAAATTGGTTAAATTGCATTATTTTTCCACCATAAAAATCTCATGGAAAACAGCGATTTTTAAAAAGATTTTATTTACATATTTTTAGAGAGGGAAGGGAGGGAGAAAGAGAGAGAGAGAAACATTGATGTGCGGTTGCTGGGGGCCGTGGCCTGCAACCCAGGTATGTGCCCTGACTGGGAATCGAACCTGCGATGCTTTGGTTTTCAGCCCGCGCTCAATCCACTGAGCTATGCCAGCCGGGGCACAGCGATCTTTTTAAAAAAACTTTTATTTATTCATCTTTAGAGGGGAAGGGAAGGCGAGAGGGAGAGAAACATCAATGTGTGGTTGCCTCTCGTGCATCCCCCCCTGGGAACTGGCCTGCAACCCAGGCATGTGCCCTGACTGGGAATCGAACCACAGTCCTTTGGTTCGCAGGCCCGTGCTCAATCCACTGAGCTACACCATTCAGGGCGGAAAACAACAATCTTAATGAAAATAGTTTTAGGTAAAAATGAAAATAGAAAACTTGGAAACAAAAATTTAATTGCACTGTAGGGGAATAGATCAAGGAATTAAATGGGCTTAATGGAGTATCTCTAGGGGAGAGCTTTGCTGATGGAAATGCGTGTGGTGTGACTCTTGCTTTATTTTATTTTATTTTATTTTATTTTATTTTATTTATTTATTTTTAGAGAGAGGGGAAGGGAGAGAGGAAGAGGGGGATAGATCAGCAACGTCAATGTGTGGTTGTCCCTCACATGCCCCCTACTGGGGACCTGGTCCACAACCCAGGCATGTGCCCTGACTGGGAATCAAACCAGCGACCCTTTGCTTTGCAGTCTGGCACTCAGTCCACTGAGCCACACCAGCCAGGGCTGATTCTTGTTAAAAGCTGAGCTCTGGGCTGCCACCTGGCTTGGTGACCGAGCTGATTCTGCAGTACTCAAACGATCTGTTCCAAACGCTGTCGCTGCTTGGAGCCCCCAGCAAGCCCTGGCTGGAGAATCCGTGCGCAGAATTCCAGCGCTTGGGGAGGGATCCGCACCTTCTTTTGCAGAACTCTTCTCTGAGATCCACTCCTGCCATCTAACCATGGGGCCTCAAGAGGCCATAGGGCCTGAGCTGCTTGCTCACCACGAACCGGCTGCTGTCTAACCCACCAAGCCAGTTTGGAGAGTAATTAACATAGCTCAGAAATAGATGTGGGTCTTTCAGATCCAAAGATTTTATTTTATTTTTTAGAGAGCGGGGAAGAGAGGGAGAAAAAGAGGAATAGAAATATCCATGCGCTAGAGAGACATCGATCAGCTACCTCTCACACGCCCCCTGCTGGGGACCCAGCCTGCAACCCAGGCCTGTGCCCTGGCTCGGAATCAAACTGGCGACCTTTCAAGTTCACAGACCAGCACTCAGTCCACTGAGCCTCGCCAGCCAAGGAATGCCTCCACCTCTTAAAAACCCTAACCTCTTCCTTTTGCTCCTGGGTCCTGGGAGCAACTGTGTCCTTCAGTCACCACCTGGGACCCCTCAGTGTCCCCAGGCCCTTGCCCTTCCCCACCACCTGCTGACTGCTGGGGTCTCCGTCTCTGGTTGGGCCCTGGCTGACACAACCTTGTGCCTTGTCCTTGACCTTTCTGTACAGTCGTCTCCTATTTCGGGGTGGGGGTGCTTCCAAAGGCCTTTTGGGGGGTCCCACACCCTGCCCGGTGCCTTAAGTGATGGATCCTTCACTTGGTTACTGAATGTTCACGTATCTCACCCTCTACCTTGCAGAGAACATGGGCACTTTTCTCTTCCAGGAAGGCTGTTTCCCTCTTAAAAACCACCTCACCCTCCTCCCCGTGTCCCTTTCCCGGCCAGCTCGCTGGTGGGCAGCCCATCTGTCCCACCTCCTGTTTCTCAGCACTGTCTGGTCCCTTGGGATTCAGTACGACGGCGGCGGCGGTGCAGGGAAGAAGGCAGTTTCAGCAGCGGCGCCATCAGGGCTTGGTGCAAAGCCTGCTGGGAAAGGGGAAATTCTCCTCCGGGGAGCAGCGTGAGGATCACGAGGGGTGACAGGGGGAACCAAGGAGCTTGTGGTGTGGAAAACACACACAAAAGTCTTAAGATTCAGAAGTGTAATGTCTTTATTGACCAAAAAAAAAAAAAAGTCAACATTTCAGACTTTTCAAACACACCACCAGTAACAAAGGGCATCCACAAGGGACACCTGGACCCAAGGCCACGCCGGAGGGTGGAGGGCTCCTCCTGGCCCACCCCCCGCAGCAGCGTCCCCGCCCCTCCCTCCCCGGCACCCCTGAGACCAGCTAAACTGCGCAGGAGCAGTCCCCCGCAGGGGCTGGGCCCCGCCGCACTGGCAAGGGTGGGGAGCAGGTTCTGAGGGAAAAGACGGAATCGCTGGTCACCCAGGAGGTGCCAGGCTGCCCCTGGGCCCAGCCTGCGTGGCCCCCGGCCTCGGACCTGGTGGAGAAGGAGCGGGAAGACACTCCCCACTGGGGGGCCGGGGACCGTGGGTCCCTGGGCACGTGACGCCCCCCAGGCAATGGCCAGACCTCTCTCTGAAGTTACCAGCCAGGCTCTGCCGGGGGGAGAAGGCTTTGGGGGAAAACACTGCCTCGGTTCGTAGAGGGTTCGGGTGAAACACTTTCCAGAAACCTTAAGAGACAAGTCACCTGAGATTTCTGGAGCACTGGAACAACTTAAACTGTCACGGGGCTGTCACGGGGAGGGCAACGTGGTGAAAGCCAACCCTCCAGGAGAGAAGAAATCTGGCCATGCCTGCGGCTCAGAGCCCTCAGCAAGGGGTTCCGCGGCCTCTCCACAGGACCCACGGGGGAGTCCGAAACACAAGTGACGGTGCACCCCCGGGGAGGAGGGGGCGGGCCCACGTCGGTCCTCCAGCCCCCCTCCTCTCGCCGCCGGCTCGGGGAGGAGGGGCTGATCGCCAGGCATGGCCCGTCCCCCGTCCGAATCGGCCAGAGTGCCTCTCCCAGGCCCCTGTCCTCGGGCAGCTTTCCCCGACACACTGAGATCCTTGTCTCTCCTGAAAGATGATGGGATGATGATGCTTGTGACCTTCTGGAAGAGGTGACCGTTTTTATTATAGGCAACATTTTACAGCTGTAAACGTCTCAGGCACGTGCCAGACTTCTGAGGTGCCAACATGCACACCCGGCCGGTGTGCAGACACCCCTGTACACACGTTTCTGTCCTACTTCACACACAGAGAAACAGGCTGGAGCGAGAGTCTGCGGCCTGGGCAGGTCACACGCCCAGAAGACGTTTGGCACAGTCTATGTTCATTTCCAAAAAGTGCGACCCCGGGCCCACCTAGCAAGCAGCTGCGCTGCAGAGCAGGGAGGGCCGCGGCTGTGATGGAGCCAGGAGCAAGTGGCTTGGGGTGGCTTTCACTGGTGCAGCGTCCCCGGGGCTGCCCCCCTTCTCTGGACCATTTGCCACGCTATGCAAGTCATCGAGGGAAAGCACAAGGGTTCCCCGGGCCCTGTGCGTGCCATGGCTGCTCTCCACGACTCGAAAGCTCAGCGAGAAGGTCGAGGTGCAGGCTCTGTGGTCACTGCCTTGATGCCCCAGACCAAACGAGCGCCTGATCCCCGAGGACACGGCACCCCACAGAAAGAAGCGATGGCGAGGGGTGGGGTAACGGGCGCGGGGAGCCCTCAGACCGCGCAGCAAACACACACACACACACACACACACACACACACACACACCCCAGTGCGGACGGCAGGGGTCACTGACAAGGCTGTGGGGCTGGACCGCCGAGGTCAGAAACCAAGGGAGACACAAACACGTATCGCACGTTCAGCCGAAGGCATTCCCTAGAGACAGTCACGGAAGTAACACTTCGGACACAGCTGGCTGCTCTGGGAGAAACAGCCGTCCCCACCCCAAGCCGCCAGCGCTTCCGAAGTCCCTTCCTTCCAGTTTAAGGTCGGGGAGGCAGACGGGCCCATGGAGGGTGGGAAAGGGCCGGAAGCGGTCACACGAACTGCCCGAGCTCTCACCTGCCGGATCCAGCCAGGATGCTGCCCACCCCAGACCGCTGCCCGGGAGACAGGGAGCCGCCCGAGGGCCTGGGCTGCTGGGGACAAACGAGGCAGAGCTGTGCCTGGCAGCGGCCGAATGCCCCGGACGCTGGGCAGCCATCCCCGACCTCCAGCAGCAACCAGGGCCGCTCCACCCTCCCCGTCCCCAGAAGCTCAGTCTACAGGAATGTGGGGACTCCGGCGACCCTACCCTTCTCCCAAAACCTCGCCGCAGCCCGACAAGTGGAAGCCAGCATCCCGTGCACCTGCTACATTAGTCTGTGATGCATAGAAGGAAGGGAAAGAGTCACGGAGCGGCCGGCTGCCGACGCCCGCCGGGGCGCCCTCACGCGCAGGCATGGCACAGCCCGGGGACAGTCCGCCTTCGCTCGCCCCCAGGCCCCCGAGGCTCCGGGAGGGGCCAGGAGCGGGCAGGCCGTCCTCCCCCCAACTCCCCACAGGGGCTCCGACTGGGAGCCCAGCCCAGACGCGGTTGTAAGGACTCGTTGTAACACTGGTAGGAAAACAAAGCCGGTTTCTGACAAGGTGCTCTGCGGCCAGAAGTTGCATCGGTCTTCGGCTTGTGGGTGGGGTGCGGGTTCCTTTGGTTTGACCAGAAACTCTCCACGGGGGCCCAGGCTCAGCCTCGCGCTGCAGCGGCTCGGATACTGTACAGGGGCAGGACCGGCCTCCACAGGGGTGCTCTGGCGGGCCGCTCTCCGGGCGTGCAAGGCTTCTGGGGTTCACATCCGAGACCCTCTCTCCTGAAGGATCTGGAAGTGGAGGACGGGGCAGGGGCTGAGGCCGGGACTCAGCACAGACTGCTCTTAGGCCGAGGCTGCTAAGCAGGCTGCTGAGGGC